TCCAATAAAGTGAGATCAGTTATTCCCCAACTGCATTGGCATTGTGCTTTCATTGCATTGAAATGAATGGAATGGAATAACCAAATGACAATGTACTTATATAATTTGCATAAGTAATTACACATTACGAAATCTTGCCACAGCGGACAGTGAGACGAATAATGTAGTTTGGGGTAGAAGACAAATTGCAGCGGGACAGAAACAGGGACAATACAGGGCAGATCACAAAGCAATGTCTTCTTGCACAGAAATCGACACTGAGGCCTCAGTATAAATGACTCGGGCCTCAAATACCCGAAAGACTGCCTTCTTCCCTACATATCCTCTTGGGTGCTAAGATCAATGGGGTGGGGGAGGCCTCTTGGTAGTGCCTCTGCCCTCAAACGCTCAGGGTGGTGGCAGTGGCAGTGGCAGACTGGGAGAGGGCCTTCTCTGTGGCAGCCCCTAAGTTGTGGAAATCCCTTCTGACACCTACATTACACAGCTTTCAGCGAATACTGAAGATGCACCTGTTCACCCTGGCTTTTGATGGTTGAGATTTATGATTTTAGGACCCACTTTATTTTTGTAATTTTAAGTTCTTCTAAACTGGGGTTTTTAAATATTGTGTTTTAAGATCGCTCATCTTTTACGGTGGGTGGCATTGCGAACTGGCATCTGGGCACCTGTAGTGACCCAGCTTGGGGATGAGGGATTGATACCTCCTCCATGCCAACCCCGGCCACGTCCCCCTGCCCGGCCAATCTATGGGCGTCCCTTTTTCGCCATGGGCTTCCCTCTCTCCCCTCCTCTTGGTTTTTGACTACCTTGTAGCAATCGTCACAACTTTGTAAGGTTAGGCATTGGGTAAGCCTTTGTATAAGGGAGGGGAGGTTGTAGCCTCTGCCTGCCCCTCCTTGATAAGGGTATCCTGTTAAAGGAATCCAAGGGTGTGGATTCTGTCTGAAGCCCGGGTGTGGGTTAGGGCCATGCCACGACCCTCAGGGTGCCCCTATTTGATGTAAGTCATAAGGCTCCCCCTTCTTGTGGTTTACCCTTAGTTTGACTCCCTGCAGATGGGTGGGAGTCAAGATATAGCCCAGTTTCATCCAAAGCCTAAGCCAAATCGATCACTTCTTTAACCAATAAAGTTGTGGTCTGTTTTAGCCCATAACCCTAAATACTCATGTCGGTGTGTTTATTAATCAATGGGGAACTGCAGGGCACTGGGCCTTGGCACGCAATATTAATTTTGTGTCTTAATAGTTGTAACCCACCCTGGGACTTTAAGGTGAAGGGCAGGCAATAAACTGTAATAATAAAATAATAATAATGATATACACTCCTGGGCAGAATGCTCCACTAGGTCCCAACCAACCACATATTATGAAGTTTCTGACTCAAGTCCCACTTTCCCTGGCAGTTCTTTCGAAATATCACGGGACTCTGTACACTGGCAAGTTCCACAGGGTAAAAAAGACTCCCTCTCTTCCGCTCCGGGATACGTGAAATGAATACCACCACAAAGCAATCTCACGCTTTCCTAAACCATACGTCTGTGCTCACCAGCGTGTGTTGATGAGGCTGCAGATCCAAACTGTTGTTTATAAATTGTTAATATTGTTTCCCTTTCTAATGGACTGGCTGGGAGCTCAGCCAAAGATTTAAAGCCAAAGGCTTTCGCAGAGAGGAAGAAAAGAAAAAAATCTTGGGGAAAAGAGAGAAAATGATCAATTTTTAAAGAAAGCTGTTAAAACACATGGGGAAAACAAAACAAAACATATATATATATATATATATATATATTTGCTTTCGTAGATTTTCACGGGTACAGGAATGCAGGTTTTGGTGTCCTCGGGTGTCTTCCCGTGTAAAAGTTGGGGTGTCTAGGCGACGTTTCGACGAGGTCTCACTCGTCATCTTCAGGCTGGTGCTTTCGGCTTCTTGTTACTGGAACAGAGCAGGATCTCAGTGTTTGAGTTCCTATAAATACTGTTGAGGGGGTGTGGTGTATAGCCTCCAATGTTCTGGGCAGAGAGGAAGTTCCCAGGCTAGTGTGCCTTTTCTTCTTTTGTTCCTTAATTACTTGAGGGATATCTTGAGTGATTTCTTGAGTGATATCCTGAGTACCACTTAGGTGGGTCATTAGGTGTGGATTAGTTGCTAAAGCCTTCGTGTCTTGACTTCTTGAACTTTGTGAAGAGTTTTTCTGAGAAGATGGCTGTACTGCACTTAGTTGTGCTCTGGCTTGGCTTCGTGTATAGGGGCGAGCTGTGGTTTTGTGTCCTGTGCCAGCCAGATCTGTGTAGGGATTGCAGGGGGGTGCAGCATCCGGAGGTGCCACCATGGTTTGGCTACTGGATGGTGTCTGTAATTTATCTGTGGAGAGGGTCTGGGTTTGGGTCTGGTGTGGTTGATTGGTGATGGCGTTCTGTGTGCCTCTGGATCTGGTGTCGGTTTTTGTGGGGAGGGCTAATTTCCAGATGTCTGGCAGGCGGGATGTGTCGTCACGCTTGTTCATGTTGTGAGGGTGTTTCTCTATCTCGATGGCTTCCATGATTATTCTCTTGTGGTGAGAATAATCTAAATTTCTCGCTAAGCAACTTCAGCCCTATGCAGAATCCATCCCTTCACACGTTACAAACTCCTTCCAGTTCATAGAAACAATAAAGAAGCAAAACCTACATCCCAATGACCTACTTGTGAGCTTCGATGTTGTATCTCTCTTCACACAAGTGCCCATTAATGAAGCCTTGACAGCCATTCAAAACAAATACAATCCCCCCGAATACATCCTGGACCTGACCAACCACTGCCTAACCAACACGTACTTCATCCACAATGGACAAAGATACAAACAGATAGAAGGAGCACCTATGGGATCACCACTCTCACCGGTCATCGCAAACCTGTACATGGAACACTTTGAAACCAATGCTTTAGACAAGTCAGAACACAAACCCAAACTTTGGCTCAGATATGTTGACGACACCTTTGTAATTTGGCCACACGGGAAGGAAAAACTAGATAGCTTCCTCACACATCTCAACAGCCTACACCCCAAAATACAATTCACTATGGAAATAGAAGCCAACAACCAACTTCCCTTCCTTGACGTCCTAATCTACAAAAAACCTGATGGCTCCCTAGGACACACTATCTACCGGAAAAAAACACACACCAACCGCTACTTACATGCACAATCACACCACCACCCTGCACAAATAAACTCCGTAGCCAAGACTCTCATCTCCAGAACCAAACGCCTGGCTGACAAAGACCACTTGACAACTGAGTTACAGAATCTCTCCAATGTGTTAATCGCCAATGGATACCAGCAAAACAGGGTTACGGAGCTAATGCAAAAAGAAACACCCCCCAAAAACCAAGACACAGAAGAAAACAATGGCATGGCCCTCCTTCCTTATATCAAGGGCACTACAGATAAAATTAGCAAAATCCTCCATAAACACAATATCAAAACAGCCTTTTGCACCAACCAAAAAATAGCCAATATCCTCAGAAACCCCAAGGATAAAATCCAGTTGGAAAACCAAGGGGTCTATGAAATACCCTGCAAAGTCTGCCCAGCCACGTACATTGGACAAACAAACAGACGAATAAATGCACGTATCGCAGAACACAAGAATGCCGTCAAAAAAGAAGAAAAAACTTCCTCTCTTTTCCAACACATGAAAGAAACAGGACACGAAATTAATTTTGCAGATTCCAAATTGCTCTCTAACATGGAACATCACCACAAGAGAATAATCATGGAAGCCATCGAGATAGAGAAACACCCTCACAACATGAACAAGCGTGACGACACATCCCGCCTGCCAGACATCTGGAAATTAGCCCTCCCCACAAAAACCGACACCAGATCCAGAGGCACACAGAACGCCATCACCAATCAACCACACCAGACCCAAACCCAGACCCTCTCCACAGATAAATTACAGACACCATCCAGTAGCCAAACCATGGTGGCACCTCCGGATGCTGCACCCCCCTGCAATCCCTACACAGATCTGGCTGGCACAGGACACAAAACCACAGCTCGCCCCTATACACGAAGCCAAGCCAGAGCACAACTAAGTGCAGTACAGCCATCTTCTCAGAAAAACTCTTCACAAAGTTCAAGAAGTCAAGACACGAAGGCTTTAGCAACTAATCCACACCTAATGACCCACCTAAGTGGTACTCAGGATATCACTCAAGAAATCACTCAAGATATCCCTCAAGTAATTAAGGAACAAAAGAAGAAAAGGCACACTAGCCTGGGAACTTCCTCTCTGCCCAGAACATTGGAGGCTATACACCACACCCCCTCAACAGTATTTATAGGAACTCAAACACTGAGATCCTGCTCTGTTCCAGTAACAAGAAGCCGAAAGCACCAGCCTGAAGATGACGAGTGAGACCTCGTCGAAACGTCGCCTAGACACCCCAACTTTTACACGGGAAGACACCCGAGGACACCAAAACCTGCATATATATATATATATATATATATATATATATATATATATATATATATTGGCCACAGACTTAAAACAACAAATCCCGTGCACTGTTTTATACAGACTGCTCTCGAACAACAGGTCCCAGAGACTGAAGTGCATTGCTGTTCGGATGTGGATATAGACATCCATGAAAATGTATGTGGGTGTCACAAGCACCATGTAATGTAGAAGTCCTCCAGTTGTTTTAGACTACAACTCCCATCAGCCCTCTCCCAGCACAACATCTGGAGGGCTTCATGTTGAGGGAGGCTGATAGAGTGACAGGCCTGTCCTCCATGAATTTGTCTAAACCTTTAAAAAAAAAAAGATTATCAAAGCTGGTAGTTATCACCCCACCTCGTGGAAGTGATTTCTGTAATATAATTGCATGTTTTGTCAGCCCTGAACCTACTTGCCAGTCCGTTTCATTGAGTGAGCCTGGGATCAGCGTATTAACCTGGTGCTCCCATCCCAACCTCGGCAAGCTCAGCTGATGAATAGTCGCCTGCCTCTTACCTTCTGAAGGATGATGTGGGACATGGAAGCATTGGCGTGTACAATGATGGTGGCTGTCTTGTCGTCCCTGATCTCCTTTAGCAACGGCGTGGGGTCCCGGCTGTCATCCAGCATCCGGATCGAGAGAGTTTCCTTAGAGATCAGGAATTGACGGAGCAGCTTCTCCAGGTTTAGAAGGCCTGCAGGTGAGAGAAATGGAAAAGACCATTTTCTACTGGACCAAGTTTCAGGTGTTACCAATAATACATAAAGCCCTTAACATCTCGGGACCAGTTTACCTGCGAGATCACCTTTCCCTATATACACCCACTTGATTGCTTTGATTTATGGAACTGGCACTGCTCCTAGTGCCACATAACACTCATTCCGCTGTTATAAGAAACTGATATTTTAGGGTGGCAACACCCAAACTTTGGATCTCCAAATAGCCTGATGCCTATTGACATCAGGCTTGAACCTTCACTGAACTCTTTTTGGTGCCTGCTAAAAACATTTTTGTTTTTAGACAAGCCTACCTAGACATGTAGAATGTTAATCCAGTTTTTAGAAATGATCTTGATTATTTTTTGAATGCTTTAAATAATTGATAATTTTTCTGTTGCATTCTTTTTGTAAACTACTGTAAGGCTTTCTCTTTTTTATAATCAAATGGTATATACATTTATTTAAATGAATAAATAAATAAAATGTTCTAATCCTCTCGTGCCACCTTTCCAACGTCTAAAACCCCCTCATTTCCCTGCAAATGCTGAAGCATCACTGCACAACTTCATTTGGGCCCATCATTGTCTCACTTGCCATTCCTCCCCTGCCTGCAACCTTCACATCTCTGAGACATCCTTCAGTGTCTCAGATACGCTCTATATGGGGCTACCTTTGAAGGTGACCCGGAAACTAAAACTAATCCAGAATGTGGCAGCTAGACTGGTGACTGGGAGCGGCTGCTGAGACTACATAACACCGGTCTTGAAAGACCTACATTGGCTCCCAGTACGTTTCCGAGCACAATTCAAAGTGTTGGTGCTGACCTTTAAAGCCCTAAATGGCCTCAGTTCAGTATACCTGAAGCAGCGTCTCCACCCCCATCGTTCTGCCCGGACACTGAGGTCCAGCACCAAGGGCCTTCTGGGGGTTCCCTTGCTACGAGAAGCCAAGTTACAGGGAACCAGGCAGAGGGCCTTCTCGGTAGTGGCACCCGCCCTGTGGAATGCCCTCCCACCAGATGTCAAAGAGAACAACAACTACCAGACTTTTAGAAGACAACCCTCTTTAGGGAAGCTTTTAATGACTGATGTTTTAATGTATTTTTAATATCCTGTAGGAAGCTGCCTAGAGTGGCTCCTGAGTACTTTATGAGTGTATTTTGGGTTGTTTTTCAGGGGAAATGGTGTGTCATGCCATTTGGTAGCCATTGTCTGGATAGCTCAGTTGGTTAGAACATGGTGCTGATAACGCCAAGGCTGCAAGTTCGATTCCCTTGCAGGGACAGCTGCCTATTCCTGCATTTCAGGGGCTAGACTAGAGAAGAAGGAAAAATTGGAAACCAACACTTTTCTTTGACTCTTCTGGAAGTTCTGTCAGCTTCTAGCACTTAGCAGCTAGGTTTTCTGTTCCAAAATTAATCCAGTTATGACAAATCATTTCATTTTTATAATGAATAGAGCATTTGACTGTTATAATGGTAGTCTGAGCCACCCGCCTGAACTGAACTAGCACTGCTCTGCCTGTGTAATTTAAGGTACCTTGCTTGACAGAAATATTGCATGTGTATGTGAGGGACTATTATCTACCTGTGTGAATTTGTGCAGTAAAAATAAATACAATAAAACACACTGATTAAAGCAACATTTACGCCCCCAGCACGCAAAATCCATGTAAAACTGTGTGTGCAGTCTTTACGTCCATAACAATCAAAGACTGGCATCTATAATACTGTTCCCCTTGAATCGATTGCTTCTGAAAGCAATGTTTTTCGTTGATTAACTGCCTCACTTTTAAATGATTAAAGTAACAATTGCAATAACTTGCTGCAGGTGACATTTTGAGGATATTTAATGAAGATAATAGTTACTCTCAAATGAATAACCCAGACAAACGAGCTCATGTTTGGACAATCTTCTTGCCGAACCTCCTCCTTCTTCCACCCCCCTCCTACTGTGGTACTTTTCACCAGGCAGAACCGGAATTAAAATCAGATGGAACCTGATTAAGAAATCCAGAATTTTATTCAGTAATAAATGGATTCATGATTCATGCTGTTAATCAATAGATGTAAAGCTTTCAGCCATGAAATAATGTCCTGGAGCTTTGGGAAGGCCCTGCCTTCCCTCAGTTCCTCTGTAACAATAAAAATAACTGGCTCAATTTAATAAAATTTAAAAAGCACACCTGCACCAGCACAGCTGCACGCCTTCATCTGCCCAGCTGCAACAAAACATGTCTCCCCTGTATCGGTCTCTACAGCCACAGCAGGTGCTGTAACTCCAACAGATTGTCTTCACCTCTTCCATTATATCTTATTGAGACGGATGGATGCCAACCTCAAAGAACTAAATAGGTATGTTGACATAAAAAGGTGTTCAAGGTGTTCTGAAAGTTAGTCCTGAGGCTGCCTGCCTAACCTCTGCTAGAAGGATGTTCCATAGCATGGGACCAATGACACTAATTGCCCGGCTTCTAGTTTGAAGCCAGTGGAGCTTCTGAAACATGGGGAACAACTAGTGCTCCTCTGGATGACTGTGGATGTTTGCAAGTGATAGTACTGATGGCCCAGGTCATCTCTCCATTCCAAGGAGCAGGGTCAGCCCACTCATGAGGCAAGGTGAGATGACCACCTCAGGCGGCAGGATCCATGGGGGCAGCAGATTCCAGTGCAGATCTCTATCCCCACCTGTTCCTGATGTAGATCTTCACTCACCCCTTCTTCCCTGGCAGGGAAGGAGGCACCATTTTGTGGTTGATCTTAGGTGCCAAAGTGTCTTGGGCCAGCCCTGCCAAGGAGAGGCCAAAGCCTTGGCACGAACACCAGCTTATCTGTGCATTAAACCCCCAGAGACATCAGGGGGAAAAAATCTGGATACATAGGTCTCAAAGGGTATCAAACTTGCATCCTCCACCTCTGCAGAAGTCCAAGAAAGCATGTGCCGTATTTTTCCATGTATAAGATGACCCCATGTATAAGATGACCCCTATTTTGGGGAGCCCTCAACAGTTGTTGAGCTTATTTTGTAAGTTTGCTGAGCTGTTGAGCAGCTTTTCGACGATCCCCCGCTCTGGCTGACGGAACTGGTGCCGTAATACACCACATACTGGCACTCGCCAAATACTCTTCCTAAGCCAGACCATAAAGAAGGCTGATCGCCGAAGAATTGATGCTTTTGAATTATGGTGCTGGAGGAGACTCTTGAGAGTCCCATGGACTGCAAGAAGATCAAACCTCTCCATTCTGAAGGAAATCAGCCCTGAGCGCTCACTGGAAGGACAGATCGTGAAGCTGAGGCTCCAATACTTTGGCCACCTCATGAGAAGAGAAGACTCCCTGGAAAAGACCCTGATGCTGGGAAAGATGGAGGGCACAAGGAGAAGGGGACGACAAAGGATGAGATGGTTGGACAGTGTTCTCGAAGCTACCAGCATGAGTTTGACCAAACTGCGGGAGGCAGTGGAAGACAGGAGTGCCTGGCATGCTCTGGTCCATGGGGTCACAAAGAGTCGGACATGACTAAACGACTAAGCAAAAGCAAAGCCGGGAAGAGCAGATAAGCAGCCTCCTCTATGACTTTTCCCTGCTACCGCCGCAGTACCAGCCCTTGCTTACTTAGCATATTAACCTGTGTATAAGACGACCCTCAATTTATCAGAAAAAAATTCAGAAAAAAGGTTGTCTAATACATGGGAAAGTAGGGTAATTCAAACCTAACCAGACAGCAGTCTGTCCATGACTAAAGAGCCTATTCCTCCATTCATAGTTAAGAATGTAAGAACAGCCCATCCAATCTAGCATCCTAAGAACCTAGGAAGAGCCTGCAGGATCAGGCCAGCATCCTGCTATCTCAGTGGCCACCCAGATGCCTGTGGGAAACCATCAAACAGGACCCAAGCTCAAGAGCTCTCTCCACTCCTGTGGCTTCTCACAACTGGTCTTCAGAAGCATTGCTGCCTCTGAGCATGGAGGAAGAGCATAGCTACATTACTGTAAAGCATTAGCACTGGCTATATAAAGCTTGAGGACTGATAAAATTCGTGGTAAATCTATGCTTCTGTTGTAAACCACAGTGGTACCTCAGAAGTTGAATGGAATCCATTCCGGAAGTCCGTTCGACTTCCAAAACTTTAGGAAACCAAGGTGCGGCTTCTGATTGGCTGCAGGAAGCTCCTATCTTCCTAGCTAACATCATCATCCCTAGCTAACAGGACCAGTGGTCAGGGGTGATGGGAGTTGTAGTACCAAAACATCTGGAGCGCTTAGTTTGCCTATGCCTGCATTAAAGCAATGAGGAAGCACTACTAGACGGAAGGTTTTTTTCCTTCTTCCTTGGGCTACCTATTTGCCTATGCAAATCCCTTCACATTGCCTCTGCCCTCTTTTCTTCTTTTCACCCTTTACTGAGATAGGAATTCATTTGAAGATTAATCCTAGAGCAATAGCGAAGGAGCAGAATTTCTTTTACTAAAGGTGGGATTTAGTACTATGCAGGAGGCCTCCTTGTCACTTAGGCATCACTTAAGCTGTCAAAACAGTGCTTATCCCTGTTTCACAATTGTGTAGGTTTAAAGCCACCCACGGCTCACATTTCTCCCCTCTGGCCTTTGCTGGGAAATGATGTTTATTTTAGGGAGGAATCATGCAACCAGTAATCTTTTGTGATTCCTTCCACTAGAAACATTAAGTATTTGAAGCATTTTACTAACTTGAGCTAAGTGCATGTGTGTGCACACACACAAGCTCTAAATGACTCCTTTTTGCTCATATTAAAAAAGCACCTCTTGATTTTTTTTAAAAAAGAAAACATGACTTCCATTGTAAACAGAATGAAATTTACATTCACAAGCAATTGAGGAGTCTTTCTTCTCCATTCTGAAAGGGAGGGAAGTCAATGTTAAAGCTCATTCCCTACCTTCTTTTGGCTATATATATATATATATATATAGAGAGAGAGAGAGAGAGAGAGTGTGTTTT